AAATCACTCAGGACTCTGAAACAAACTGTCTCTGCACTTTATCACTTTATCACTTTATCACTTTTTTATCACTTATCACTTTTACCTCTTTTAACTTGCACTGCTGTAATGTAATGTTTATCTGTTGTTTATCTGTTGTGCCTGTGCACTTTATATGTTTCACTGTGGGGAGAGTGGGAAACGTTCTTTCGACTGCTTTGTATGTTTACATGTGAAATAGTTGACAATAAAGCTACTTTGACTTGACTTTGACTTTGACTTTTTTTACGTTTGAAGATGTTCACCATATACTTCAATTGTATTGGATTTGGCTGCAACGCTGTTTACCCCTGAAACTCCAAAAGTCTTGTGGATTCAAACAGTTCACCCACTCCTCAATCTGCATAGCGGTGAGTTAATAATGAGTTTATTTTCATTTTTGGGCGTACTATTCTTTTAAACCCAGGAATATTTAACCTGTGTGTACTCTGACTTTCTTATAATCATAATTTCCTTGTGTGATGTGCCATTCCTGAGGTCAATTCTCAGTCAGTCTCTCATATCAGTGTTATAATACAGTGTCTGATCAGTGTGACCTTCACTCTGTTTTCTGATGCTGGGTTTGATCTTATTATTGCTTTTTTCTCATAGGGGAGAAGCTGCCCAGGGTCTGAGAGGAAATGAACAGGTCGATGAGCAGGAGGGAGCAGAAGAATTCCCCTACTGCACCATGATAGACATGTTATTGAAGAGACATGGAGCCTGTATTCCGCACCATGAACCCCAGCTGTATCGTGCTGTAGCCACTGAAACCAAGTCTATACCAGGGTTCAGCATCCTGCCTTTCCCTGATTTCTGGGGTCATGTCCCTCCACCAAGACATGAACCCATGGTCCCTCGCAAACCCAACATACAGAGGTACTCCATGCTCATAACAACAAATAAAGCAACCATTAAAGTAGATTATATGACTTGTAGATTATGTGCCTTGTACATAATTTGACATTGTTTCTTTTGGTCTTAATAAACTTAACTTAATAATCTTTGTTATACTTTGGTCAAAATACCAAAGAGATGAAGTACCACGACACCCCTCAACTCTATGTGAAGAACCCTGTTGAGAATGGCCTGTTTGTGGGTGTGTTCCATTCAATGCTAATGAGCCACCGCTCCCCCTCGGTAATATGTGGCATATGTAATATGTGCAAATTCTAAGCTTTGTCTGTGTACAAAATAACGGAAAGACATGTATGGATTTTCACCGAAATTGGTGAAAACTTAAGTATCCCCAGATAAATAACCGATGGGGGAGGAGCTCTAGGTCATGAGATCTTTGGGAGTTCTACATGTAAAGACTGTTTCTTCTTATATCCTCACAGATTAACTTAATGTTGCCATTCACTAGACTGGTGTTCTGAGCCAGCTTTAACTTTCTGTATTTTGATCAAGGCTCTGCTCTCAAATTCTGTTGACCACAGCATCTGTCTGTAACATTCATTTTATTGAAAGTAGGTGGTAGCTGTCTACAGCAATTTGAGAAGGACCAACACAAGCAAGTCCAGTTGCCTATGTACACAAGAACAACTCCTAAAGTTTAGTTGTGGTCTATCTGCTGAATCCTTGTTTTGAAGAGTACACAAGGGTATCAACCAAGTTTATATTAAATTCTGCCAGCCACGAGAGTAAAATAATTGTGAATATTTTTAACTAATCACAAATGCAGGCTGGATTTCTCCTGGTGCTGCCGATGGTCTGTCTGACTATGACAGATATATATGTGTGTTTGTGCTGGTGAGGGAGGTGTTAGAGTAACCGAGTAGTATTGAGTAGTGTTAGCCGGTGCGTCTGCATGTGGCAGAGGCTCAACCGAACCTGTCATATTTGCACTGATTTACCGGAGGGTGGTTGTTGTTTGCATGCCATTTAGGGCTGCTGGTGGCTAAGTTAGGCAGCAGATGTTTGTTTGTGTGGCAAGGCTGAGATAATGATTTCGACACAGCTCTAACTATAAAACATCACACTGATCAATTAAACATGCCTGTTCTTATCTTAGTTTGATTAGCCCAGTTGTGTTATTGATACGAAGGAAGAGAATCCTAGTGTGTTTTAATGTGCCATTAACTCTGGAGTGAGTCAAACAAACCTTAAGTAAACTTATAATAATAATAATGTACAGGTACTAATACATTATTATGTTTGTTGTTAAATGTTAAATGTTAAATCTAAAATATTGTATCCTGCCTGTCCCTTTCTACTTAGCAACTTTAAGCGAGTTTCAATCCCTGATTTCATCGACAATGTGTTGTGTCGTCTTCAAGCCCTCTCGACATCATACCCACATTTCTCCTAAAAGAAGTTATCAATACTAGGCCTGGGCCGATAATCAATAAATCAATTAATCGCACGATAAATTAAAATGAACTCGATCATTTTGCCGGCCTCGATATATCGCCATGTGCATGCGTGTTTGTTTTCCTCGTCTCTCGCCTCCAAGCAGGCTGGATGACTGCAGAGGGTTCACTCTGTGCTCGGTCTCAGCACTTGGGGGCGTTGGTTGCGGAATGAACGGAGTGAACCCTCTTGTCAGTCATCCAGCCTCTTTGTCTCTGTGGGGGGAGGCGGGGCCGCTAGCATTAGCCACACATGCTACACGCACAGAGTGCAGCGAGTGAGCGTCGTGCGGAGCGACGCGAGGAGAAAAGATGATTGCAGAGTCAAATGCCACAGCCCCGGTGTGGGAAGGTTTCGGCTCCAAGCCGAATGAGCAAGGTGAGCCCATCAACATGGACGAACCAGTTCAAAAGTGGTGGCAGCGAAAAAAGGCAACACAACAAAGTTGCATGCCCACCTAAAGCATCACCACCCGACCCAGTTTAACCAGCTGGGAAAACAAAGTGCAGCTCGAGATGCAGAGCCTTCCTCCCGACAGTCAACACTCACTCAGGCGTTCGGTCGACAAAGTAAATATAAACGGACCAGCGCAAAATGGTGTGCGCTCATTGAAAGTGAAGTTCGCTACATCGCTAAAGGTAAAAAACACTGAGAAATAAAAGTTTATTGTCTTTGAAAGGGTGTGCATTGTTATTATATATTATCATGTTGACAATAATATCGTTTATCGGCAATAATTCGTGTGACAATATATTGTCCAGCAAAATTTGTTATCGTCCCAGAACTAATCAATACTATTTGCCCTAGCCTTCTTAGAATTATTAATTGCTCCCTTTCTTCTGGCCAAGTCCCAGACTATTTCAAGAAAGCCACCATTCAGCCTTTATTAGAAAAGCAAAATCTTGACGAGGCACTCCCACAAAATTATAGGCCCATTTCAAAACTTTCATATCCAAAATCCTCGAAAAGGTGGTTCTGACCCAACTGCTAGATGTGTGTGAGAATAATATTTTCGACCAATTCCAGTCAGGTCCCGCAAACGACACAGTACGGACACTGTTCTCGTCAAAATTACTAATGACATAGCAATGTCTGCCGATGCTGGTGAATGCGCCGTATTACTGCTCCTTGACCTCAATGAGCATTTGACACCACTGATCATAACATCCTGATCAATAGACTAACGCAATACCTCAGCATATCTGGAACTGCCCTTAGTTGGTTCAAGTCCTATGTCTCAGATAGACAAATCTCCATTTCCATTAGATATAACACTTCATCCCTGGCCCCACTGATGTGCGGAGTGCCACAAGGTTCTATTCTTGGTCCCATCCCATTCTCTCCCCATTAGGAAACATCATCAGCCACTTTCTACCTTAACTTCAAAACACATGTAAATCAAATCATTAAATCTTGCTTCTTCCATCGACGAAATATTGCTAAAATCCAATTGGTTCTATCTCTCTCAGATTTAGAAAAGCTAATACATGCATTTGTTTTGTCCTGCCTGGATTATTGCAATTATGGCCCCAACCTACATTTCGCAGCTCTTGACTCTATAATCCCGGTCGTAACCTGAGATCGGCCATCCTGTCCCTGTTGGCTGTCCCTAGGTCAAGGCTGGCCACTCAAGGTGACCAGGCTTTTTCTATCAGGGCCCCGAGGCTCTGGAACTCCCTGCCAGATGAGATTAGGCTCGCAAACTCAATACCGATCTTTAAATGACTGCTCAAAATGTATTTTTACAGGAAAGCATTTCTAACATGCAACTTGTAATTACTTTAATTACAATAATCAGACTTATTGAGTTCACATATGATGCTATTGAGCTCTCTCTCCCCTCTCCTGACCCCACCACCCCATCTCTCTCTCTATTCTACTCCTTCATTACCATCCACCTCCTCTTTCCCCATTCTTCTTGGCTCACCCCAACCGGTCGAGGCAGACGCCCACACTGAGTCTGGTTCTGCCAGAGGTTTCTCCCAGTTTAAGAGGGAGTTTTTCCTCTCCACAGTCGCCACAGGGCTCGCTCATTGTGGGAACTGTTGGGTTTAATATGACAGCTTCTGACTCTGCTTCCTATGAGAATAGGTATTTAGTTCAATTTAGTTTAAAAACAAATAAATAAAATAAAAAAGGCACAGAGGTAATGACATCTGTTCTACTGAGTGGGCCACGTGGCTTATATAGCACTGCCATACAAGCCAGTAGCCAGTCAGTTTTACCTTTAGCCTCTTTCAATGTTATTATGATTAATAGGCTGAAATCCTTAATGACACCAATGTACAATTGAAGATATTATTTTCAACAACCAGTCTTACAGAGCTCAAATGTGATGGTTAAATTGCTCCTCGGCCCAAAAAATTTAACTGAATTGATTACCTAAAACATGCACATAAAAGGAATTGGCAATTTATTGAGGTCAGGAAATTATCGAGTTCATGTTTATATATCGTACTATTTGTTGATATAGTATTTATCATGAAAGACCTACCTACAGGTCCAGTGCTTGAGAAAAAAAGGTACACTTTTGTGAAGATAGGTAGGGCAGAGACATTCGGTGGAGAGATTGTGCAGTTTCTGAGAGGGGGGTGCTGTCTATTTTCCCCTTCTTTGGCCCCAAATCTCATCTTTATTGTTCGCAAAGGGAAATTCATGTTGCTTTGATCAGTGTCATACAGAAAAATAAATAAATAAATAAATGAAATAAATAAAATAAATAAAACCCATATACGACATATTCTAGACAATCACACAAATATGAGTCTAAAATATTTTTTTAAAGGAAACCAGTACCTATGAGTGATTCTGTAAGTGTTTGTATGTGAATGTGTTTGAATTCATTTGTGCATATGTTTGCCTGCATAAAAAGTCTTAGTGCAGTATTATAAATAAACACCATACTGTGCCTTGAGCACCGCATATTTCTTAAAAAAGGTGCTCATCCATTTTTTTGGGCCACAAAAAGGCCTGGAGTGTCCCGCATCTGTATGCTATCTGAGTAGGCAGCTCCAGAAAAACCTGACCTGCTGTGATATTTAAGTTTTTCTGCCAGGTAGCTACCCCAGAGACCCAAATAAATGTTCAGAAGAGGAAAAGTGACACCCCAGAGTTTTTCAAACCTAGGCCTAATGTGTTTTGGGTGTATATGATTTATTGGGAAAAAATATTTGGAATCAGTGCTGTATTGATCAAGAAAGCAATACCACCCACAAAATATCACTGCAATGTAAGAAACACGGCAACTCTCTGCTGTATGTAAGTCACATGCAAGCCGCAACCTCCGGGGCATAGAGATGAAGCAGATGCGGAAGTGCAAAAACTGCAATTAATGGCCATTTGAGGCTGGCCCTAAGAATGAGTCAAACCCCATGGGTGGGGGGTGCATTTGTTTTCTAACTTACTAATTTAAATAATATATAGGTTTGAAATTATGCATAATTATCACTTGATTGACAGGCTGACATCACTATTAGCTTGTTGCTTGGTGCTGCTAGCCACTGTTGTCTGTTGGCTTTATTTTAGCTAATCCCTATCACTGAATGTTACTTCTCAGTCATGTTTGTTGCGTCTGTGCCTTGTGGGGAAGTGTTCAGTCACATATTGGATTAATAATATGGCTTGCTGTATGGGTGATTGTCCAGATGGAGAAGTCAAAGAAGTAAAGTGCTCCAGTTTCTGTGGTAAGTAAACTATAAATTATTTGCCTTAGCCTTTAAGCATGATACACAGATTTAATGACAATGCTAAGAGGACTTTACGATTCTTCACTACAGTTATTAAACAGACAAAACACTGACATGAACCGGTCCACACATCAGACAGAAATGTTATAGTTAGTGGTGATTACTTTTGAACCGACCGTATCTTTGGAGAATAAGCTCCACCACATTAGTTATCTATTGTTATGCAACTTTATTATGTTTGCTATCCAGGCAATATAATACTAACTTAAAATTAGTTAATGAAGAATGATGTATTTGTTTTTCAAATGAAAATTAACATTACGAGGTAGAAATGTAACTTAGCTAACAGTCACAGTTAGAAAATGAATCAATTAAAAAACAATTTTTCTGAAGTGAACTGATCATGAGCTGATTCATTTTAAAATAATTGAACTTTTATATTTCATTCAGTGCCTGAAAAACATCAATGTAGGAAGCCAACTGCAGTCAGACCGTGCAGTTGCTCTCCCCCAGCAGCAGCACCTTGTGATGACAGGACTCTGGTCTGATTAGCTGACTGTCACTGACACATGATTTGTCTTATATTTTTATTCTAAGAATACAGATGTGATGTGTAAAAAGCCAAAACCTCTTTTTGCACCAACAAAAGGTTCAATATAGGAACATTATATACAGTACATACATTATCCTATAATTACTAATCTATATAGCAACTGGCAGTGTATATCTGTTTGTTTCTTTGTTTCTGTCATTCATCTGTGCCTTTTTTATGTGTATGAGAATGTAATGAATTTCTTCTCATTTAGGCTATGTTGACATATTATTTTATAGGTAAAAATATAAGAAGTATATATCTTATCAAAATGCAACAATTTCCTGCTTGTATTCTCAAGTCACTTGTCAAGACGAGTGGTGGCTGTGTTTAAGCTGGGTGTGATTGCAAAGGCAATGTTGTCACTGGTCATGGGAATGTAGTGACGTGTGCTTTAGCTGTGACTTCCATGTTCTTCACTATTAAACTTTGAACCTTTCAGCATCTGCGTTTTCCATTTCCTGGGCAGCCTCATCTCACCTTCAATCCTGATGTTAAAGGGATAGTTCACAGAAAAATGAAAATTCTCTCAATATTTACTCACCACTATGCCGATAGAGGGGTGGATGAAGTGTTTGAATCCACAAAACACTTCTGGAGTTCCAGGGGTAAACTGCATTGCAGCCAAATTGAAGTAATTGGGGGACCACATGAAACAGAAAAAACCAACAGAAAAAACTAATCTCACACAGTGTAGTAGTGGTATGAAAAATAAAAAAAATAAAAGAGAAATGTAATATCTCCTCAAAATATCAGTGACTGGTAGTCAAATTTCCTAGATAATGAACCGGATATCAAATTGTTGCGCAGCATTGACCTCATCTTTATTGCATTTTTTTGAAGTTGTTTTTTTTAACTGATATTAGATGCCATTTTTTATATTATTACAAAAATGCATATATAATGTGAATCTACGTGATCTATTTGTATGTATCTATACAGAAGTCTGTTTTCTTTGATACCTTGTTTGGGGGGTTTACAGTTCAGGTTGGAATTATAAGTTTAGGTTAGGGTAAGGTAAGTATCTAAGGAAATCATTATGTCAGTGATTATGTAGGCTCAAAAAGATAAGATTTCAAAGAGATAAGATTTCATGAGGCCAATAGAGATTAACTATTAAAAATGTCTGGCAAAGAGTGGACAGTTGTTTGAGATGAGCAAGTCCTTTGTTTTGTGTTTTAATCAATCTATGTGTAAATTACTTCTGTTTTGGCTTGCCGATTGCTGGCAGAAACAGCACCAACGTATGAGCAAAGTGGATGTGATAGAAAGAGTCTGCTCTGCTGAAGAGCAGTTAACATGTTTAACCGGTGCTTTCAAATGCAGAAATGACCCAAACTTCTGCATGTCCCTACTATATTATATCCATCTTTCTTTTTTGCCAATTTATCCATTTTAATCTGACCTGTGGAGCTGGCTTCAATGGCTCTTCAAGGTTTTTGAAATATCATAGTAACACACTTTATCCATTGTATGAATATATCTATGGCTGTATGTGCTTGTCTCTATCAGGAAGAAAGTGTTTGAAGATGTCCAACGTTTCTTGAATACTGCTGACATCATCAACCAGGTAGTCTATGACCTAGAAGACAGCAGGTTGGTGAACAACACACAACACAGCCATTTATGGATTCATTCAATTTATGGTTAAATTATATTTTAAGTGAACATACTATTTAAAATGTTTGAATTTTAATGTTGGGGTTCAAATTGGATTTGCATAGTGTGCCTTAAAATTAATCTGGCCAGTTTCTCTGTATCTTTGTTTGCCAGCCTTCAGTGTCTGTCTGATTCTCTGAGGTTTTTCTCTAACTTTGAGTGTGGGAACTTGAGGAAGGCTGTTCATATCCGCAGGTATGAACACATGGACACACAAAAACACAAACTAGTATTGTTTCATCCCCGTGCTGACTGAGAGAACCATAGACAAATTCTCTTATCTTTTCTTCTCTTGTAGATATGAATATGACCTCATATTGAATGCAGATGCCAACTGCTCCCAGCACACCCAGTGGTTTTACTTTGAAGTCAGTAATATGGTGGCAGATGTCCACTACCGTTTTAATGTCATCAACTGTGAGAAGAGCAACAGCCAATTCAACTATGGTGAGAAGTTGTAATGTGTAAAATGTTGTTAATTAATTAATCGATACATTACAGAGGAATCCATTATGTCACCAGGCACAAGCAAAATAATTCAGGTCTGGAATTTGACTCCTTTCCAGGCCACCCTTCTCACGCAAAGCACTAGACCTCTAATTTTCAATCAATCAAATTGTATTTGTATAGCCCATATTCACAAATCACAATTTGTCTCATAGGGCTTTCACAAGCTGTGACATCCTCTGCCCTTAACCTTCAACAAGAGTAAGGAAAAACTACCAAATAAAAACCTTTAATGGGAAAAATAATGTAGAAACCTCAGAGAGAGCCACATGAGAGGGATCCCTCTCCCAGGATGGACAGAAGAGCAATAGATGCCACGTGTAATGTGGTCATGTTGGAACAGGAAGGGGCCATCCCCAAACTGTTCCCACAAAGTTGCCAAAAGTATTCACTCACCCATCCAAATAAT